GAATCCTTTGTGGCTGCAATTTGAATCAATTAAAAACGGCAAATACTAAAGAAAGGCAATCCCACCCCCCAAGATTTCAAACACATGGTATATCTTTGATCAATGAAATCAGCTAAAATTGGACTTGAGTTACAATAGTGTTGTAAAACCACTGCTTACAAGGTGAAGGACGATTTTTCATAGTTAATGAGAGGCAGAGAAGAAGGTTCTATAGATCGGCCCTCTGTGTGTCCGTTATGCATTTCATCTCACTTGTAATTGAATTTTGATGAAACTATGGGGAATTGTGTAAATAAGCTTTAATATTACTCTGCTTAGTCTGAGGGGAATGATACAACATGTTTGTGATTGCGTGTTCATCTTATACAAGCTGCTAAAAACCTACGGGAATAATGCATCTTTTTGTTCTGTTCTGCCATATTCAAATTTGCACTTAATTGGTCTGATGGGGGTGCTACAGTATTTGTTTACTTGTTATTGATTGGCCCAAAGGGAGGTGCAGAGATTGTGGGCGATGGCATATTTGCTGTTGCCTTGTTTTGAAGAATTGTGTTTACATGAGGTGGAAAAAACAAATGTAACAAACTGAGGATCCAACATCCAACAAATTTTCTTCATACAGTTCCACAGTTAATAATAATAATAATAATAATAATATTATTATTATTATTATTATTATTATTATGATGCCAACTTCAAAGAATTTACTTTTACCATAACCATCTACATGTCTGTACTCTGTATGTGTGAAGACCTCCTTCAGAGTCAGTAATAAGATTACAGAGGCTATTTTTACCGTGTCTGGAGGTGGTGGAGCCCTGGGCCTTTGTGAGACGCTGGAGAACAGAGTCCGGCCTCTGGTGGAGGGTGGAGAGCTGAAATGCCTGGAAGGTGCTGATGGACCGGCTAAAGAAAGCAGAGGAAGAGAAGGAAAGTAGAGGGAGATTTAGTCAGTGATGGAGAACAGAGGCAGGTCTAAGGTGAAGCATGGATAACTGGAATGATGTGAAAAGATGGTCTGATGAATAAAGTGATGGAAAAAGACAGGCGAGGAAGTGAGTGGTAGACAATTTCAGAGAACTGCTAACTCAATATCTCATGTGTATAGGAAGCTCAGAGGGTAATGTATGGTGAGACAGTATCTTTCAGTGTGTCAGTCAAGGCCTTGTGTCACTTCATGCCCTAAACAATGACTGTATAAGCCACACCGAAGGACACTGACAGGCAGAAAGCGACTGATGGCTGAGGATACACACTGAAAAGGAGACTGTTATCATGCCTCTAAGACTACCCCCTAAAAAGTTTAAAAATGTGAAAAATGGTCACACAGAATCTCACACACACACACACACACACACGCACACACAAAATGTCCTGTGTGTGTTAGCAGCACCACCGAGCCAGTCACGATGTGCTTATTGAGCATCAACTCTCAGTTGTTGAAGGAATGACATTACATTACATGCATTTTCTGCATTTATTAAATATTCAATTAAATTCTATTTTATTTACAAAGCACCAAATAACAACAACAGTTACTTCAAGGGGCTTTACCATATTGTAAGATAGAAACTCTAAAATAATACAGAGTTTAGATGACCCCCTATGAACAAGCACTTGGCGACAGTGGGAAGGAAAAACTCCCTTTACACAGGAAGAAACCTCCTGCAGAACCTGGCTTAGGGAGGAGTGGGTTGAGGGGATAGTAATGCCCAATTAACAACTTTATTAAAATGGTGTGCCCTCACCTCTTGCGAGACTGCAGTGCTGCCCGCTTGGCCAGTAATGATGGAGGGTACTTCTCGAACAGGTCCTGTGCCTGGCCAATCAGAAGCTCGTATGGGAGATCCTGGGGGATACGAGAGAGGAGGTGGTGGACCATGGCCATGTCACACTCTGTCTGCTTCACCTCCTTTTCTCTGTGCAACACAATCTGAGGAGAAGAGGAGCAAAGCACCAGTTAAAACTTTTAACCCTAAAGCAGATCACTCTGGGTAACACTTGAATACTAGACTGCATATATAGTACATTAGCTTGCGTTGTTTGTGAGGCGCAGTAAGTGCACTGCAGACAGATAAGCAGATGAAGAGTTAAAGCCCCATGCTGTGCGCTGTACTCTGCCTGGGAGGAAACATGAACTACATTCTGCTTTGTTGTTTCACACACTTCAAACAGAGCTCTCCCTCTGCCCAGCCCCTCTAAACACACACACACACACACACACAAAAACATCCTCAAGTGCAAACAAGAAGCCACTAATCAAAATGCACAGACTCTACAGTTAAATAACACAAAGGAACAAAAGGACTTGTGTACAATCTCGACATAACATACTTCAGCAGACAGAAACAATCCAGCTGGAAGTAACACGCATGTATGGCATGCAGCAGTTAGTGTGGAGGAGCAGATGAAAAAAGTCAAAATGTTTTCCCTTTGTAATCTGTTTCCGTGTCCTTCCTACTAAAGCTCTCACATCAGTCAGCTCTCTCTGCTCATTCTTTTTCCCTTTCCTCTTTAATCCCTCCCTCTGTACCCCTCTTTCTCATCTGCTCATTAGGAAGTATCTAATTAACTAGTCTGATGACTTCACAGTACTCTGCCTCACTCAGAGTGTGTGTGTCTGTGTGTGTGTGTGTGTCAACATGTATTCACGTGTTCTGGATTACTGACAAAACAACCTCATTGGCTCTCGCCCATACCGTAGCAGCAAGGTAGATGGGCATCAGGGGATGTGAGGCCAGGAAGAAGTCGTACAGTCTCAGGGTATGCTTGAACTCTGAGAGAACATGGCCGTACCATGTGATGAGCCAGGAAAGTGCAAAGATGGTTCCAACCTCCGCTCTAAAGACAAAAGGCACATTTCATCATGTTACCTTATTTTAACATTTCATTTGATTATTTTTTTGTAACCCTGTTTATACATATATCTACGTTCATATTTGCCCTGTTTGATCCTTTCTGAACTATTTTGTATTTATTTATTCTCGGACTTCTCTAGACTGGTTTTGTATCATTCACATTTCAAAATAATCCCCATTTATTTACACTGGGTCTTAGTGCAGCAGATGACCACATTAAAGAGATTTTAATACAAATCCAAGAATAGAAACATTTATGAAACCATAACAGTATATACTGTACAGTGTTGCCTCTGTACACCACCACAGCAGATTTTGATTAAAAAATAGTTAATATGTGATTAATGTTCACACTTTTAGCTGTAATTCAAGAAGTCTTACAGAAAAGTATTTAATCAACTATTTAGACATTGCAGGCATTTTTATAGATCAGAGGCTCAAACGCAACCTGAGAAACTAACATTTTACAAACGGGGACTGAAAGAACATCATCAAATATCCCTGTACTGTTAGACCTTGATTTTATTCCACTTTCTCTGTCTTGAGAAACTTGTCAGCTGCTTTGCAGTTTCCTTTGGACTCTTAAGTAGCATCCATATTTGGCTGAATCTGAGCAGATAATATAGTTCTGTACACTTCAGAATTTATCCTGCTACTTCTATCAGCAGTCACATCATCAATAAACACTAGTGACCTGGTTCCACTGGCATGCATACATGCCAATGACATAACATTGCCTCCACATGTTTGACAGATGATGAGGTCTGCTTTGGATCATGGGTTGTTTCTTTCCTCCTCCATACTCTTCTCTTCCATAATTCTGATATGAGTTCATATTGGTTTCCTTTTTCCAGAGCTCTTTTAGATGTTTTCTGGCAAAGTCTAATCTGGCCTTTCTGTTCTTAAGTGTAAGCAGTGGTTTGGACGTTTCGTTGACAATGACACACCTACCTCCTGGAGAATGTTCTTGACTTGGTTAGATATTTTGAAGGATATTTTTTGTTTTTGTTTTTTTTAAACCAAGGAAAGAATTTGTAAAAATCAAGTGTCTTATCTGGTCTTCCGGGCCTTTTGGTGTTGCTAACTTAGACTATGTTTTCCTTCTTTTTAAAGATGGACCAGATTGTTTTCTTGGCCACTTCTTAAGTTTTGGAAGTCAATGAATTATCACCTAAATTTCTATGAAATAACAAGACACATTTGAACCTTTCATTGTTTGGGAAGCCACCCCCCCAAAAAAAAAATATTCATTTGACCACAATAAAGGTCAGACTTGTTTGCCTGACTCATGCCTTTAAGTCACATTTTAAACATATGGTCAAGTATGAAAAGTGAGAACGTACAATCACTCTTTCTTAATATATGACTGCCCGTTTTAAGTGATCCAATGACACAGGACATGTGGATCAAAACCAGAAAAAAAAGAAAACCTCTGGATCTGAGTTGGTTAAAAGCTTTTTTTCCCCACTCATTGCCTTTAATACATATGTCATAATCCTGAAATCCTGAACACTTGAGATATAAAATACAGAACTGAAAGAAAAGTATGTTTTCTTCAACCTCATATATCCTGCTACTGTGCCTCAAGTAAAATAACAAATTAGAAGTTTCCGATCAATACTGGACAGGAGAACTGAGCGACAAAGAACAAATGCGTGCTAAATAAAGGGACTGACAAATGGAAAGAAGCAGGGACCGATAGAGGGAAGGAGCAAAGGGCAAAGAGCATGTGCGATGGGTTGGGTAGGGATTGAAAATGAAGCAGGAGAGAAAGAAAAATAAAGGTGAGCAAAAGAACAAGTACAGAATAAAAGAGGCAGAGATAAGAAGACAGACAAGGAGAAGAGGAAGCGCACAGCAGAAAGGGTGACTGAAACTTTGAAGTAGGGTGTTGTTTATCCTGCTGTCTTTCTCCAAGTGCAATGTCTTGTTTTTTGTGCTTTTTCTGTTTATGTCAGCATGTATGCAAGTAGACAGGTAGTTTGCAAATATGGAAGTTGCCAGTACAGTATCAATTATGAACAGGCAACAAGACAACAACAAAAAAAAAACTGCAGACATGCACACATCAAAAATACTTTAAAGGGTGATTCGATTCATTGATTTGCAAACATTCCCATCCGCAGTCCATCACACATTATCTGCAGCAGCTGGCTATTTCTTGACGTCCTTTGTTTTGTGTTTTAACAAACTGCAAATTGTTCATATATCATTTTTAGGTGAATTCACTAGTAAAATACATTTAACTTTATCTCGCAAATAAGGTTAAATGTGGTGTACACCTTGGCAGGACAGACAGGCTGTTGTACCATTTGATAGCTGAACTCCAACTGCTGATGTGTTTTCAGTAATATTTTAATTCAATTGCAAATACACTAGCCGTTTCTCTCCCTGTAAGCATTATAGGTAAAAACCAACACTGTGGTGCCCTCTAGTGGTCACTACTTTTTGTACCTGATCATGAAGTCATGCAGTTCCAAATCAACCTGCTCCAAAATAGGCATCAGATAGTTTAAAATGTGTTTGGTGCTGTCCATGGTAGGATCCATGAAGTCCCTGCACAGAGAGAAGACTTGCAGAAGTTGGAAAAACATTTTAACTATACATAAAAGTATGAGAATCATCAGGAAATAAAATATCCAACCTGAGGTGATAATTAGACAGTGTGTCCAACAAGGCGATGGCCATTCGTTCCCCAACTACCAGCAGCAGAGTGACGGCCACATCATGGTAGCCTTGGTAGTAGTGCAGCTGAGTGTTACGCTTCAAAACCTCCAGTATGATGTCGATGAGCTGCTCCTGAAGCACTGCTCTCTCCGTGGCTGGCATACCTGCAAAAGAGCAAATGAGCAGTGCATTTATGTAATCCAAAAAGTGACACTAGAAAGTGTTTATTATTGGATTATTAGAGTTCAGAATACAGAATCCAGTGTTTTCTATGGGCCTCATTCTGCTATGTTGCAAGATTTTAAAGGCAAACGTGCTTGCTGACTCTGTAAACAACAGTAGTGCTGTTGAATTTAAAATACAACAACACTCTCAGCTCAAAAAAGTGGGAACTCCTCCTGTGAAGATTAAACTTGGTTTATAAATTACTCACAAGATAACTCCATGTTGCTGTAAGGTCAGGGTTACAGTTTAACAAATGGCACATTGCGCTATGCTGCTATCTTTAGAGATAAAACACACCCACACACACACACACCTTTCGGAAAACGCTTCATCGACCTCCTGACATCAAGGACTACTTGGTTGTAGTCTTTGTGGTTCTCCCTCACATCTCGACCTAAAACAAAAGAAATATTTCCCTTATTGTTGCTAGCATTGTTTGCACTAGGAGCACTTAATTTATTACTTATTTATGCAGTTCATCAAACACTAACCACGCATTAAGTTAAGTGTATACTAACCAGGTTTATGTGGTAGCTCATAGACATTTATGTTCAGTAGTTTGGGCCATACTTTTCTCCTTAGCTCATCAGTGAGCAGTCCTCCTTTACTGACTGCCGCTCTCCTCAAGGTCTCAATGTCCACTGGATCACTGTTCATTCAAAAGCCAAAATTAGACAATTTTTATATTACTTACAGTCTGCTCATAGTATCTAAAATTTGTACCTTTGTACCAGTTAGAAACTCCTACCTCTGATTTAAATAAACTAAGAAAACAGCTAATGCATTTTTTGTAGAATTAAAAAATTACTATGTTCAACAGGTCAGCACTATTTATATGTTAATTTAATTTAAATTACTCTCACAGGCTAAAATTTAATTGGAGTCATTTTAAGTAGTTTAATAAAAATTCTTTTAAAAATTACTGCCTGAAGTCTAGAACACATGTGCATGACCAAATATGATTTGGTCATTGAAGAGAATCCCCCCAAAATAATAATAATTCTCTCTTGAGCCGTTTTTGCAGTACCCTTTTGGAATTCCCACCGCTGTCCAATCAGTTTTGCAGAATTTGGCTGAATCTGAGTAGAATGAACCCTGCTGCTTCAATCAAGAGTCTCATCACTATAGACTAGTGCTCCGCGTTCACTGGCAGCCATACATGCCCATACCATAACATAGTAAACACTGTGTTTGACAGATAATGTGGATCATGAGTGGTTTTCTACTTCTCCATACTTAACTCCCCATCATTCTGGCACTAGTTAATCTTATTTTCATCTTTTTTCCAGAACTGTTGCCACTCTTTTAGATGTTCTCTAGAAAAGTCTAATACAATTCTTGAATGAACCAGTAGTTTGGACCTTATTGTAAACCCTCTGCATTTCCATTCATGAAGGTGTCTTTTGATTGAAGACCTTAAGAATGAAACACCTACTTCACAAAGAGAGTGTTCTTGATTTGGCAAGATCTTGTTTTGGCATCATCTTGCCAAGTGAATTCACTGGCTAGTGATGAACCACATGATTTTGATCACTCCTAAAGTTCCTGTGTTCGCTCTCTGATAGGTTTATTTGGGGATTATTCAGACTAATGATGGCCCCTGTCACTTTCATCAACATCAATTTTGGACTTCTAAATTAAATTCAGATGAACAACTCCTGACTGAACACCTCGATTTAACTCCAGATATTTTATCTGTGTAATTTGTCATGAATTAATGAGGGAGCAGGCTTTGCCTGGCCATGAAAGTGCTAATCAGTCAATTGTCCAATTACTTCTGAGCTGCTGAAAATGAGGGACTAGCTATAAAAACTGCTATAATTTTCAAACAGTTAATGCAATATCTTTGTGAAACCCCTTGAATTACAGCTTAAAGTCAGCACTTCAATCACATCTTGATTGTTTTATTTCAGTTTTAAATTTGAAATTCACTGGGGTGATGTACAGAGGCAACATTAGAAAAAAAAATGTATCACTACCCAAAAACGTGTAGACTTAACTGTATAACACATTTTAGGACACAGTTTAAAGGTCCTTATGATTACATCATAATATTCCTGAACACACCAGAGTAATCACCACATGTGCAATCATGTTAGTATAAAAGTTATTGTCTGTTGATAAATTAGTGCCATCTAATTGTGAAATAGTGTATTGGATAAGAAGGTAGAGGGGATTTCTCCAGTGGAAATATGCCTTATGCCCTGGAGTTGTAGAACTATCTGAGGTATTTATTACCATAGAAAATATTGAAAAGAAGATCCACTTTTTAGGCTTCTAAAATGATGAAGAAGATTGTCAGGCTTTTCATGTTCGCTGAAGCAACTATTTTCCTGTTTTATTTCACTCCTAGAACATAATACACAAATCTGGATGTCCCATGACTGGCAGCACATAGCTCAAGAGTGTAAAATTGCTCTTCATCTGCTTAAATGTGCATGTCCAGTTTTTGTGGAGTAAGCACACTCTAGAGACACACTGTGATATTAACCTGATCAAAGCCTGATGGATCTCAGCCAGCTTCTGCTTCCTCCCACAACCTGGCTCTGTAACAAACAGGCAGAGATGGAGGTGTAAGAAAACAAAGTAAAAGCGAGTGGTATGGATGAAACAGAGAGTTGTGCGAGAGCGTCCACAGAGAGAAGAAAGTTAGGGGGGAAGAAAAATGGATAAGGACAGAGACTTGAGGATCACGTTTAAAAATCACACTATTATGGCTTTGAAGGTAAACCCAAAGATTTATACTTATTTTACTAACCTGCACAGACAAACCAGGTGTTTCTTCATTCATTTCATACTAAAAGACATTGCCTTTTTTAAAAGTCATTTACGCAAGCAAAGCCATTAGGATCAATGATCATAAAGTTATCTAAATGCTATGCTTTAGATTGCAGCCAGTGTGAGTTAAACGCAAAACAAGTATCAGCTTTGCTGGATCGCTGACCAAAAGCACCTTTTCCGTCTCCTCCCTGCCAGACTGTCAGCTGTAAATTTCCAAGCAGTCCAGTCTGCCTGACAGGCTGCCACGCAAGCAGCTAAAGTTTGCCCTCTTGTAAACAAAGCAGCACATTTTTAGTTGCTATCACTTGACTGCAGTAATATTAGATTAAATTAGAATTAGCTACATAGTCTAGTCTGGTCTAGTTTTGCTTGCCTGCACGTACAGATGTTATCGAAGCAGCCATCGTAATAAAACGGTATAACTTTAAAATAAGATGCCTTAAGCGACTGAATGTAGTATCTCTTCTTCAAAAACAAAGTCTGTTAGCTGTCATCGCGTACCTCTTGTGAAAGATCCATTCCCATTCACCACAACTCCGCCGTTCTGTTTCTTCCTCTTGAGTCTTTTCATTCCCTCTAAAAGCAGACAACGGAATCTCCGAGTTTACACCGTAACATATGTGAGTTAAAGAATTAAAAATATGTATGTAAACAGGTGAAAAAACACTGAAAATACCTGTCCCAGCGACGAAGCTTCCCTCAACAGCTGTCGCTACTTAACTCAACCGAGCAAGCGTTCTCAGCTACAATGCAATTGGTCAGAAATACCACGTGACCAAACCGACGTATACTATTGGTTTTCCTTTCACTCGCACTGCAACCTGACTTGATCACAGATTTGTAGTCCATACATGTGAGCGACACGGGCAATTATACTTTGTATAATAAATTTTGAGACAGAAATGTTCTTATGCAGTAACTTTTTTTATAAGGAAAAAGTGAGTGTTTGTATCGTAATTGCAAATAACAAAGAAAAAACGGACAGGACACTGTGATTGCTTTTTTTTTATTTTTTCTTTACGAACGGGGGATGTTAGCTGAAAATACAGAACTGGCAACCCTTCTGACAAATGCACCTTGAGCCGTCGTAATGAACCGCCCCTCTCATTACCAGCGCTCACATTGCAGGAGGAAGAACATCCCGCTGCTGTTTGTTCAGCTCCTGTTGTGAAGTTACTGAGGGACAAACGGGCAGTTTGACCAACAATGTCGAGCAGGTAGAAACAGCGTGACTGAAGCCGCGGAAATGAGCGAAACAGCCGAGACGAGAGGGCCCGTAACCCGCCGGAGGAGGACAACCAGCACCAGCACCAGCACCAAGCAAACCAAGAGGCAAGACGCAGGGGAGAAACCTCCACCGTGTTCCGCTAAAGAAAAAGCCGCAGACAAGGTCCAGAAGCATGCGAACAATAACGGCAATGTGGAGAAAGAAATGGGGAAGTCAACACAGCAGCAGCAGCAGCTCGCAAACAGTCCGAAGAAACAGAGGAGTGCGGTAGAAGATATCAACGAAAAGCTCAGGTAACCTTTGACGTTAACGTTCCAGCATTACGTACAGACGTTAACGGTAAATTGTTAGCAGAGGGGTACGTCTCATACTCCTCCTCCCCTTTTCATTCATGTGTAATTTAGCCAGAGTCGTTATTCTTCCTCCATTGTTTCCAGTAGCTTAATTGCCGTTTCATGACGGGTTAGCTGGTACTTATTTCTTACAAAGCTGTTCTTGAGCTAGTGGGCATTAAAAAAAAAAAAGAGAGTTGCAGAAACCCAAAAGTTGCACTTAATCTTAACATTTCCATAAGCTTTAAATGCCTCCTTTTGAGTTGCCTTCGTTCATCCCCTGTTTTTTTTCTGCATTTTCTACATTTCTTTAATAGCCTTGCATGAATGCAATCTGTGAGAGTCTGGCACAGGTCTGGGGAGCTTTTTTATTTCCAGCTTTATAAACAAACTGACATAACTTTCATTGCTTGCTTTTTTTATTAGCTGGAGTTTGCTCTTTTGCCAGGCCAATAATAAATAATTTAAGAAAATAGTCAGCAGATCGATGGAGAGTTTGTCTCAGATGTCTCTAATTTTGAAGCAATATAAAAATGAATAGTAGTAACAGACTTCTTTGGCAGGACACTCACTCACTTGTTGAACAGAGGGTAGCTTTGAGTTTGTATACAGGGTGTGTCAGGAGAACAGGTAGGGTATGACCGACCTTGCTGCAAACAATAGCCCGTGCTTCTACCTATGGGCACCACACCAGCTTCTCAGATCTGCCTACCTATTTAAAGCATGCATTTCTTTAGGTTGAAGCCATGCCTTCTTGATTACCCCATGGAATTTCTACATCCTTGTAATTGGTGTGAAGGCCAGGGTCCTAATACGGCACTTTAATACCCAGTAAAAGGAAGGTGATTTTAATTTGTGGTTAATTTTTATTTTAATTGGATCCCAGCCAGCTGACGTAGGCAAGTGATGTGTTCTTGTGACACATGCTTTGGCGATAGCATGTCTACTGTTTGCATGCATTTCTGCACATTTCTCATGCTGAGTGGGTGTCCTGGCACTATGTTAAAAACCACTTTGGTTTTTCCTCCTTTATTTTTCCATCCTCTTGCCCTCTCTACAGTTTTCCTAACTCGCTGTTATTGCTCCATCTCCTCACCTCTTAACCATTTTCCTCTGACCAGTCTTCTCCTCCTCTGTCCTCGTTCACCCTTTATCACCTATGGCTGTGTAAAAGTTCCTTTATGGTTTCTTGATGAAACGCTTCAGTTTTCTAAAGCATAGATTGGGGGCAGTGCTATGTAAACCTTTTAACTGCAGTGTGTGATTCATCCACGTAAAAGCTGGTATAGAAATTAAATAATTTCCCTCTGATCCTAACTTGAAGTTGATATTAACTTTAATGTCAGATTATACCACATTGTTGTTAAGTGCATTACCACCAAGAAAGTGGTAATCGGTCCATCAAGGAAAATAAGCTAAGTAAAGGAAGTTCAGCATAGCTGGTCCTCAACATGAAGTCACACGTGTGTCATTTTTGAAGGATTTCTCAATGTGTTAATCATAAATGACTCACTCTGAGTTATCGGTGCTTTGTAAGAGTTGTAAAATCAATCCTGTTGCCCTAACTAGATTCCCCCCCTTAGCTTGTGGAGACACTGAGACAGGAAAGAGTGCTAATCATTTGATTACAGTCTAAAATTTAATGGTGAACGACTGTGTGTTTTTCTGCAGGTGTCACAATCTACAGGAGTCTCTCTTGAGCTCAGCCAGCGGCTACAGCAACTACAGAGGAATCCTCAACTGGTGTGTTGTCATGCTGGTGAGTTAAACCTCATTACATGTCCACGCAGAAATGAAAATGTATGCCACCGTTGCTTCGAAAACTGTAACATTTAGAAAGTTAGACCCCTCATTCACCTAAATCTTACTGGTCTGGACAAGGCTCATGCAAGAAATCTCAAAGAATTACTCTCTAATCTCAACAGCTCATGTATGGTTATTCTTATTCTTTGCCACTTCTCTCTCTCTCTCTCACTCACTCAGCCACTCAGCCATCCAAAGTGTATAAAACTCCAAACTACTGCAGCAAAACAAAAGTTCCAGCCCACACAAAGTACACATCCCTCTGGGCTTGCTGTTAGACCTGTTGTTACATTGACTTTTTGTGACACATTAACTTGTTGTGTTGTCTGCAGGAACGCTGATAAATCGACTTTTGTGTTATCTCTCATAACACTTGCAGATTAGCTACATAAGTACTTTTTTCTTTTTCTTTTTTTTTTTGGTTTTGCTCTGGCCTGGGTTGCCATTTCTTGTAGATATTTCTATATTTTTGATAAGAGGCGTGTTTGTAAGCTACAGTTTAATCTCAGTGAGCTTGTTTGAACTTTCTCATCAAAAGTGAACTTTGTTAGGTGGGCTTATATTACGCGAGGGTCTTTAATTTGCTGCCAAATTGTTTTCCTTTTATTAGTGATTTAGGACAGCGTGGCATCGCAGTGGTTAACACTCTCTCCTCACAGTAAAAGGGTCCTGTCTTTTAAGTTTTTATTTGAGTTTTGTATATTGGGCAAAAAAAATAAATGAGCATCACGCAAAACATGCAACAAAAAAACAAGAGGTTGTGGGATTAGAATCACAGTAAAATAGAAAAAAAGAGGACTTCTTTCTCCTCATATAATGACAGCGAATCTCTTTCAATGGTTAAATGGCACGGTTTCTCCTATCTTGTCTCTCCTATTTCATTTTGGAGTCTTATTGAGTAGGTCATCTGCTCCAAGGTATGTAGATTTTTTTTTTTTTAACAGTATTAGTAAACAAAAAAAAGTGTTTACTTTTTTTTTTTTGTTTGTTTTGTTTTGCTAACTGTCCGTAGGACCTTTCAGACGGTGTTTATCTTTCTTTTAATTCATTAATTTTCTTTTAATTCAGCTGCAAAATAACATAAATAAATAAATTAGAACTCTGGAGATCATTCGTGATGATTCTTTCCAAAAAGATTGACTCAAAATGCTTCAGCTCTAACTTTGATCTAACTGGACCCATATCTAATATTGTGGTGATTTCTTTACTGTAAATTTTTAGTGAGCCAACATCCTTAACAGTTATCAGTTCTATGAAAAACTCAATTTTCTATCTGTAGCAGGGACATTTTTATTAGTAATGACAAAGAAATTCCTTCATTCACAATAGCTCACAATGCTTGCTAGTATTGTTATTGTTAATGCTAGCTAGTTATTTGAAAGTAACATTTGCTGAAGCTCCTTTTAAAATAATTCAAATGGTTTGCTACAGTGTATGCAAAGACTAACCATTGTGGCTGCTATACTTTGTAGTGCTACTAGCATTAATAACTAAATTGGCCAACCTGGCTTTCATACAGCAAGATACTTCTGTTGAAGTTGGCTGAATGCAGGCATTTTAGTTAAATATGTCATGTCCCTCTCTGTTGAGGAGACTTCAGGACTGTTAACCTCATTTAGAAACAAGAGCTTCTGCCCCAGTCCAGTGAGGGAAGTGTGGGTGTCTGTCTCCAGAGACAGCCTGCAGTGCCCCAGAGAATCCTGTCAGTTTTAGCCTTATATTAGACATCTAGATTTAAAAATATCCAGTTAGCTGTAATCCACATGAAAGGGAATTTGACTCTAAGTGTGTGTGTGCTTTGCATATCTGTGTGTAGATGTACTTGCATGATTGCTCTGTCTGGATGTATCTATGCAGATTTCTGTATGTGTGTGTGTGTGGGTGGTTCTATGACGGGTTTATTCCCGTTTTTGAAGGTTTAGATTGCCGTTCAGCACATCTTTCACTTTGTGGTCACCACATACCCAACGGATGGTGTTCACTTTAGACGTTTTTCAGAGGATGCTTTAGGATCAGGCTGTAAAAATGTAAAGTGGACCCCCAGAGCCTTGAATGTGTGTATATTTAGGAGTTCAGTAAGTTGTGTACTTTGTCCTCGATAACAAGGACCATCAGATAAATTCCTAAAATGTCAGCTGTAGAAGTGCATGCTTCTAGAGATGGGAATATAGATGTATTTTGTGCCCTCCATGATTTTTTTATTTTTTTTATTTTTTTATTTGTAAGATTTAACACAAAATAACAGGGAAAAACTACGTTTTTAAGAAAATAGCCCAAAATACTAGTAAGAAATTCTTCTTGTGAGAGAAAACTCAATATTCTTGGTACTCCATCCTCTGCATTGCTGGCAGGATAAAATACTTCTCATGTTGTGTAATTACTGAGCTGTCATCATCTAGTATCTGAACCCTGGGAACAAAGTCTACATGGGATTTTGAGACTTTTAGAATACCTTTTGTTTATATTTGTCCTCAGCACCTGCATAGATTATTTGTTACCATTTGATTTGTGATCTGATGAAATTGATTCTGAGGTTCATGAAACATTTTTTTTAAGCTTTGTTTTAGAATAGTCTTATTTTCTGATTGTTACCTGAGCTGAGCCTGTTGGGCCTGAACACCTCCCTCTGCAACTGGATCCTGGACTTTCTGACCGGAAGGCCTCAGTCAGTACGGATCGGGAACTGCACCACCACACTGAGCACTGGGGCCCCACAAGGCTGTGTGCTCAGTCCTCTGCTGTTCATACTGCTGACTCATGACTGTGTAGCAACACACAGTTCAAATCACATCATTAAGTTCGCTGATGACACGACCGTGGTGGGTCTCATTAGCAAGAACGACGAGTCAGCGTACAGAGAGGAAGTGCAGAGACTAACGGACTGGTGTAAAGACAACAACCTGTCTCTGAATGTTGACAAGACAAAAGAGATGGTTGTTGACTTTAGGAAGACACGAGGCGACCACTCACCGCTGAGCATCAACGGCTCCTCTGTGGAGATCGTCGACAGCACCAAATTCCTGGGCGTCCACCTGGAAAAGGACCTCGGCTGGTCCCTCAACACCAGCTCCCTGCACAAGAAAGCCCAACAGCGTCTCTTCTTTCTGAGAAGACTGAGAAAGGCTCGGCTTCCACCACCGATCCTGACCACCTTCTATAGAGGAACTATCGAGAGCATCCTGAGCGCTGCATCACTGTCTGGTTTGGGAACTGTGCCATATCGGACCGCAAGACCCTACAGCGGATAGTGGGAACAGCAGAGAAGATCATCGGGGTCTCTCTCCCCTCTATTGAGGACATCTACACCACATGATGCATTTGCAAAGCCACCAGCTTTGTGGCTGATCGGACACACCCCTCTCACACACTCTTCACACTCCTGCCATCTGGAAAAAGGTACCGAAGCATTCGGGCACACACATCCAGACTGTGCAACAGCTTTTTTTTTTTTTTTTTTTTTTCCACAAGCCACCCATCTCCTCAGCAAAAAGGGACTGACTGATAAGCGCAAACACACACACACACACACACACTCACACACACTATCACTTAGCTTAACTCAACTACCTCAAAACATTGAGACTGGACTGACTAATCAACACAAGCGCAAACACACTGACCTACACCACCAAACCATCGTACACACTAACCTGTAAATGCTCTTTTGCACAATATTATTACTGGACTTTTTGCACTAACTTCTGCACTTCCTAATTTTTGCTGCTACACTAAGGAATGTTTACTGTTCCTCCACTACCTCAACTCATCATCACAAAACCTTATTATTATGTTACGTTGTGTTTTTCTATCATTCTGTCACTTTGCTGCTCTTGTTTGCACATTTGCATTTGCACATGCACTTTGTCTGCTGTCTGATAACAAAAAAAAAAAGTCTTCCTTAGATAGTTAGGGTTTTTTTTGTTAATTTATGTTAGGTCAGTCGGTCTTGTCTCTGCTAGCCAGCTAACTAGGCCTCTTAGTTAGCTAGTTTAGTGTTTTCTGTTAATTTATGTTGTAAATTTATGTTGCATGTAGCACCTTGGTTCCTGGAGGAACGTTGTTTCGCCTCACTGTGTACTGTTAAACTGCATATGGTTGAAGTGACAATAAAGCCAACTTGACTTGACCTGATGAATCATGATCCATTTATAGAGACCTCTAAGAGAAGATTGCTCGTTCTGCTGCAGACCCATCTGCTTGGCAAATAGCTGCATACCAGATGTTGGTTTTAAGGTGTCCCCCTTCTCCAAAATCAGACCTGTTCATTTTCAATTGGAAAACTTCATTAGCTACTAACAAGGCACAGATGGCTGCGACCAGTTCTTCTTCATCTTTGTTATATGGTTTAAGACACAGTATTGAGCTTGTTGGTCATAGATATGGGAAGAGTACCTGAGACTTGGAATGGTTCATTGCATTGTTCCAAGTGATTTGCAGACAAGTAAACCATGTAAATAGTTTATATGGCCACAGGCTGACAAGGTCAGTGCACTGTGACGTAAAGCCTGTTTTAAGATTTGATCTTTGTTCTCACCTGTTTTCTCAGGGCATCTTTGCCAGAGGCCAGGTTCAGTGAACATCAGTGGCTTCTTTCATTGTTAAAATTACTATCCACCAGATCAGAGAGAGGGATGTTCATTTTGCATTATAGATTGTTCAAAGAAAGTACAAGTGGATAGAAGTAATATTTTGATTTAATAGTTCTATAGTGTAGTTTGATAGCTGTATATTATGTGACGAAAAAAATTTATTATTAATAGCATTTCATTTTCTAGAACATTACAAATGATAACAAACATAACATACACTATAGTAAAGTAGCTTTTGGACATATTAACCTTTTTCCTTCACCCTTCCCAGAGCGCAGAGATTTTGCCCCTGTACCCAGCCCTTACTGTTACTTCAGCCTCCCTAGAACCCTATGACCCTCTGATCCTATGACTTATAATATCCTGTGCTGAAAACTGACGTCCCATCAGTATTTTAATGGTGTGCATAGAAAGGGCAAACAGTAACAATGAAAAACACTGCAGTGGAAACAAGTAGGCCTTGTTTCCACTGCAGGAAAAAGGCAAATCTTTGAAAATCTTCAATGTTGCAATATTCTCTACAAAATGTTGCTACAGTAAATGTGTGACATGCTACAGTGGCCTCCTCTGTGCTGAAGGTTACTAAAGTAAAGGTTACTGGTTTGGACTACAGACAAAACCACATTGCTGCCGGGGTTTGGCAAGCTGGTGGGGATATTCACTGCAGCATGACCCCATTAAGTGTCATACACCAAATGTCCTCATTATCTTAACTAGCTTAAGTGACTAATATAAAAATGAACTAGAACTGTACAGATCCCATATATAATGTTGCTTCTTTAAATTGTGCAAAGTCTAGCGTTATCTTAGACTCTCTGATAGCCCCGATGGCTGAGATGAAGCTGGACTCTGAACTTAAATATACAATTTAATAATAAACTTGTTTTGCTCGACACTTTCTATCAGAGTGCACTTCAGCAGGGTGTCAATGTGAACAGCAGGAACATGTGGCTAAATTTAGCTGAGGATCTAATCTATTTATAACTCAGCAGCTAACATTTTTATTTCTAATATCCTCCTCCTTAATAAATTCCAGCATAAGAATAAATGTGTTTTGTTTTGTTGTTTGTTTTTCATCAAATTTGAATAGCAACAGTTTCAATGTGTATAAACAAACGGTTACATCTGCACGTTGAAGATTCAGACAAGTGTTTTGTTTTTGGGTTTTTTGCAGCTTTTTAATGAAGAACAACTTTGAAAAATATGCTTTGAAATATTTCTATAGTACGAGTCATGTTAATATTGTGTCCTGTTGCATCTTTCTCAGGTGCTGAGTAATGCACGACTTTTCTTAGAGAACATTATAAAGTGAGTATGCACCTATATTTATGTAGCTGTTATTGGGGGGTTTTAATCAACAAGAGCTTACATATTGAGAACTGCTTCACGTCCAGAACAACTTGAACTGTTGCTGCAGTACAGATGTTCTAAGGCATGAGCTTGTTCCAGGTCTTAGGTTATGAAGCTTATTTCCTCTTGTTCCACATCAGCTTGGACAGGCTCCAGCCTTTTGCATCACTTTAAGAGATGACTTCCTATAGCTGTAAAATATATTTCTGTTCCTTCTTCAGGTATGGCATCTTGGTAGACCCTATCCAAGTAGTGTCCCTCTTCTTAAAGGACCCCTACAGCTGGCCAGCAGCATGCCTAATCATTGGTACGGAGCCTTAATTTTACTGCACACGGTTATTGAGTTACAACTTTGTGTTTATTTGTGACTTTAGGATTGAGATGATAAAATTCACAAACATGGTTTGTAGTTGTATTGCTGTGTAGTGGTTATTAACAGCTTCTTTAAGTACAAAAGATGTAAATGGATCCAGAGTAATTAAGTTTTTCAGTGGCTCATATGTGCAATGTTGCCACATAGAAGTGCAGTTCATGTGAGCCTCTGTGTATAATATATTTTGCTGGTGATTGTTCAGATTTTATTTACTTGGATACAGTTGATTCTTGATGCAGTCTGTGTTTTACAACACAGGTAATCAGTACTAGGGTGAAAGCAGAACTTAAAACAAAGGTCATATTTGAATGTTCTTCAAATTCTCTTTTGAAGTTCGTGACTGAAATAAACAGAGTAATGATTGATTTTGATTTTTATGGCATAGCATCTCATAGAGTTTGAGTACTGTTTTTGTTTTTGTGTTTTAGTGTCCAATGTGTTCATATTAGCAGCCTTGTACATAGAGCGGCGTCTGGCTGTGGTAAGTCCCTACACGAATATGATGTGTTTTTCTGTGTTGGATTAAATTTTCATTTAACTTGTGATGCTCAGTTCTTCGTCTGGGACTCTTCGACCTCAGTAAGCTTATTTGTTGATGTGATAACACTGTTTTCTTACAGTACAAAGAAAGTGGATTTGATTAGAAGGTTGTCGTTCTGTGATCTCCCATGTGTGCTTGAAACAGGTGCTTTTCAGTTGCCGAAGTCTTCAAAGTAAATTCAACATCACAGCGCCACCTCTTTTTATACCTGCTCTTAAATCCGATAAGAACACTGAAGCTGATCCAGATTAGATAGCACAGTTCCTTAAGAGAAAAAATACTGAAAGTATTAATAAAATATTGCTTACTTTTTGTCCTTTATTCTTTCTAGGGCACAATCTCCGAAACTACAGGGCTGATTCTTCACTTGTTTAATCTGACATCCTTGTTAATCTTTCCTTCAGCCTCAGTACTCACTGTGACCTCCATCACACCAGGTACATGATTTTTTTTTTTTTTTTTTTTCTTATGCTTTATTCTTTTTTTACACAAGAGTGGGTCTTCTGTTTAGAAAATTAGAACAAATGAGAGCAATAATGTCAAGTACTTTAAGGTGAATATGAGTGAGCCAGTGAGTCAATCTGTACACATACCCAGCTATGCTTGGTTCATTATTTATTTATTATGTACCATGTCATCTATTGCACACTGCTAGTGACTCGTACATTGTGTGTGTCTGTGTCAGTGGGTGGTGTGCTCTCCTTAGGCACCTACACAGTGCTGTTTCTCAAGCTGTACTCCTACATGGACTCCAACAAGTGGTGCAGAGAAATCAGACAAGCCAAAGCTAAAAGAATGACACGATCATATTCGTGTAAGTATATTAGCATAGGAACTGCTGGGCCGTTGAATCATTGTGACTAAGGTCAACAAAACGACTCGTATCTGTGAATGAATTCAGTAGATGATTCATACCTGCAGAGATTTGTTGCACTGTTTTGCTTATACTGCCATCTAGTGGTGGCATAGTAACATGTGCAACTCTTTCATAGAATAGCTGGCGCTATTTCAATTGACCGTGGATGAAAGCTGGATCTGCATCTGTAGCTATATTACTGTGGATTCATTTTAATACACCATAATGAATAAAATAAAATTGAATGATGCTTGAAATTCTAATTGTTGTGCCTATTCATCTGCCACATTCAGGTCCAATTGTGGCACAGTCCAACGGGTCAGCGGTTAACACCAATGTCTCCTACCCAGGCAACCTCACACACAGAGGTAACAGACTGCACAGTTAGTGCAGATGGACATTGCTACCAACAACAATGAGAAAGAAAATTAGTGGGTCAAAATATTTGCTGTGTAAATATTAACTTGTTAAAGTAGGGGCTGAGGAGTATCTCTTTGTATAGCCAGTAAATGTCGTTTCTCACAAGGTCTTATTAATTTTTTTTAAAACATTCCAGTATCAAAGTCAGAAAGTGTAGGATCAAGTCATTAATGTGACACATTGATGTGACCTGTTTGTGTTTGTCTTTAGACATGTACTACTTCATCTTTGCACCAACTCTCTGCTACCAGCTCAACTTCCCACGGTCTCCACGGATACGCAAAAGGTTTCTGATCAGAAGACTTTTTGAAATGGTGAGAGGAAACGATCAGAAACGGTCCCAAAATTTTAGTTGGTGACCTAATTATAATGACAGAAAATGAATCGCAGTCACAAACGAGGAGATGAATGTGTGAATGTTTTGTTTAAATCTTAACGTGTTCTTTTCTTCCAGCTTTTCCTCATGCAGTTGTTGGTGGGATTAATACAGCAGGTATGTAGAATATTTACAGACACTTGGCAAGCATGCTGATCATACACTGTATGCATGCATTAAATAACTGATCAGTCAAGTGTGATTTAAATCGGGGGTGTCGTGAAATAACAATGGTCTTTGCTCACTTTTCTGATGCTACAGTTACTTCTTTCACACACCAGCAGATTCTTGCATCAAATTTACAAAGTTGGCATGCCCCGTATAGCCGTTACCATTCTGCTTCTACTCCATTACCACATGCTGAAACCTTGGAGCCGGAAAATGCTGCCTGCAATAAATATATTTAGATTTGACTTATAGTTTGTTTTCTGTAGCTGAATATTGTTTATCTGTCATTCTCTTACATTGTTTAGTGAAAATCTGAAATTGTGATATGCCTAGTTCGAACACATTTCTTCTTTGAGTATATTGTGGAAAAGCAGCAAAAAAAAAAACCCTAACCTAAGTCTGTGTCTTCCAGTGGATGGTCCCAAGTGTTCAGAACTCAATGAAACCGTTCCAGGTGTGTATAAACATAGAGACACTCACTGCATCACTTACAATGGCTCCAATAAGGCAAGAGTCAAAAATATTTGCCTGAAACTGGAGCGGTCTTATAAAGAAAAGGTATCTTTTTTTTTTTTTTTTTTATTACTTCTTAAAGGACATGGACTTTTCTAGGATGGTGGAGCGGCTGCTGAAACTAGCTGTGAGTATCTAGACTGCACATCAGAGACTTTATCAGTGATCTGTTATTAGTATTAGTGATCTAAATTAAACACTCAAATTAATTCCTTTATTCTGGTATTGTCGTTTTTTGTTTGTTTGTTTTTTTTTGTTTTTTGTATTATTTTAACATTTTTAAAGTGAAATTTATTCTGTGCTCATCTCAAAAGAGGTCTCAAGAGTTACATTTGTTAGTCAACAGTAGTTCAACCTTACCAACCTAGACACCTTTTCCTCTCTCCTTTTCTAATCCTCCCCCCTGGCTGCCTCCTCCCAGGTTCCTAACCATCTAATATGGTTAATATTCTTCTATTGGTTTTTCCATTCCTCTCTGAACTTTGTGGCAGAGCTCCTGCAGTTTGGAGATCGGGAGTTCTACAGGGACTGGTGGTGAGTCGTCAAGCATACATTTTCTGTGTGACTCCTCTCATCTTTCATTTATTTATTTATTTTTTTGCTTCTTCCATTTTTCTGTTACTTTAATATGATGTTGTGCAGTCTGTCAGATGTAGAAGTGATGGTGTTTCCAAATGCAACAGATGATGTATCACATAGGTTTCAAAGAGTGTTTTCCTAGAAATATTGATTCAAATCGCACTGCAGTTTTGACATCAGTTCCTTAAACTGCTCTTGATTTCAGGAACTCTGAGACTGTCACATACTTCTGGGCCAACTGGAACATCCCAGTGCACAAGTGGTGCCTGAGGTGAGCAGCAAACTCTGTAATGACAAGTATTTATTTATTTATTTATTTATTTAAAATCAGTATTGCCACATGGTTTGATTGGCTTTAGTCTCATTAATAGTGCATATATAGTTAGACCCAGATATAAAAAGAAAGACCAGGAGTCATTTGTCTGTTTCCCTGTTTTGCAGACATTTCTATAAGCCAATGTTGAGGAAGGGGGTGAACAAATTTCTGGCTCAAACTGCTGTTTTTCTGGCTTCTGCCTTTTTCCATGAGGTAACTGAGCAACATTTAGCCTCAAACACCTTTGATGGCTGTTTTTACTTCTGTATGTGAAGCAGACTGTTTTTACTAAATGTTTTATTCCTACATGAGGGCAGAAATTCAGAGGTTCCTGGTGCATGCACAGAAACTGAAAGAAGAGTTGCTAGCTTACAGCATCACTGTTATAAATGCAACTGCTGAGTTCTAAAAAAGGGAATCTGTTTCTTTCCTCAGTACCTGGTGAGCGTTCCTCTCAAGATGTTTAGACTGTGGGCATTCATGGGAATGATGGCTCAGGTAAGGCCCTGTATTTATTCATTTCATTATATACTGAGGCATACACATGCATTCACCTCTGACCTTTTAAACCCTTCAGGTTCCTCTGGCTTTGTTCGTAAGTCGCTTCCTGAACGGAAATTACGGCAACGCGGCCGTGTGGATCTCACTCATAATTGGACAGCCCATCGCCGTGTTGATGTACGTCCATGACTACTATGTCATTCATTACGGGAGCACTACATAACACAGGACAGACACCCACACACTAGTCTGTGAAACACGCCAATGAGGTATTATAGAGCAGGTTCGAGGGAATCCATGGCAAGCTGATGTTTATGAAGCTGTTGAAGCTTTGGCATGAAAGTTGTGACTTTATTTTTGCACATTAGAAAACCATCAGGAAATGATTTTGGATATTTAGGAGTCTTGTCTAGTCTCACACTGCACCCCTGTCAGCCTCCAACTGTGCAATCCACTGTACGAAAACAAATATATGGTGCTAGTGGTTTAATCTACCGTTCATTGGCTCAAAGGTTAGACTTCTTTGGGGGTTGGGGACTCCTCTGCTTTAATACATTCATCTTAAAAGTGGGAAGACTAATAAAAACCACACGCTCCTCCGCTCAGTGAATGTTTAAGAATGCACATACCAGCAGGTGCAACAAGTGTGAACCACTGCCAACTGTGCACAAGCTACAGCCTGGATCCAGGATCCTTCTTCCAGAGAAACTATATGAAAATGGGGATTCTATATCAGGGGCTGAGGAGCATCTTTGTATATCCAGAGGCAACACTTTTAAATGTTAAAGCCAGTAAACTTCTACAAGCTAAAGCCTGACATCCTGGTCAACCACTTAAGAATCTCCATGGCTTGACATAGACCAGACTGACTTTTGCATGTATCCTTGGATGCAATATAACTTCCAGTATTACGGACGGTATATTTAAAAATGACATTGAAAATGTCCAAAGGTAAAAAACTGAAGGAAACAAGGATTCCTCTCCAAAAAGACTGAGCACCAGGACGTTGATGTGGATTTATTTGTACAGTTGTATGTCAAACAAAATCAATGCAAGCTTTGAGCGGAAGAGCACGTGCTGCCGGCTTACTTGCCTTGGCTTTATCATCATCTTGTGTCTGCACTGCCTTTGATTTGTCGAGTTTATTTTATAGTTTTGCAGTATTGTATTTGCTGGATGTTTGTGCCATCTTGAAATCACATGTGGTATTTTGTGTTTAAACTAATGATTTAAGTGTTTGATTTGCCAGATTAAACCAATGAATGTTTTTTGCACTTGAGATGCATGCAGTTAACTGAAGCAATAGATTTCAATGGATGCATTATTTTAAGTTGTATCAATCATGTAAAGAAAACAAATTTGTGCTGAGATTTCTGTTCTGTAATCTGCTTGTTGACGTTGCTGTTAAAAGGGGAAAACTGAAGCTGCGTTAATTTAAAGAAGGCCGTTGAAACAGCCTGATCACGTTGGATGATTTACAGTATTTGTTGAGTCCATTTCTTTGATCTAGATGTTGTCAGAACATGACACTACTGCCAGTGTGGATAACATACCATAAATTGATGTAGGAAGATGTTCTTATTTTATCAATCTTTGAAAGATAAGTGAAAGCCTTTTGTTTAAAAATGGTTGCATTCTTTCCTTTTTGATCATAATTCAGGGAAAAACTGTCCTTGAGCACCAGTAATAGAACTGAGTGTTGGCATTCCTTACTGAATACTAAGTGCCTGCTGTAAAAAGGAGGGGAAAATGCTTGCATTTAAACTGAAGAAAAATGCTGTTAGATTTGATGCCAAATACTTGTAATATAATCCAAAATGTAGGAAAGGTAGTTTAACTTTTATCTATGTAGCAAGTGGGCTTCTTTGTATGGTATGGTGATTTGTGCGGGAGCCTAAGATTTACTGCACTAAGCTCAAACTGAAATATTTTACCAAATCTCAGTTTTAAAGCTATAATTTTTCTTTTCCTGAAAACACACAAGTAAAGCATCATTCTGATCACTTTATTAGTATTTCATTGCACAAATGACACTTTTTGTCTGACCCACTTTCATCTGCAAATGTGACCCAGTTCTGAATTTTGTCAGATGTGAGATACGGTTATTGTGTGACACCAGAGTTAACATCTGAGTAGTTTTTTGTTTTTTTTTTCCTCCCCTAAAAACTAGTTTCTACATTTACAAACCATGTATCTAAATGACATGAGCTTGCTGAGGAAAAACAGAAACTGCGTACTTCAGTACAATCGATAGAAAGAGGCGTCCAAAGCAGTTCAAAGGTGTTTCTTCAATATTAGTTAATGTTGAGGTGTGTGTTTTGTTTTGTTTTTGATGCAATATGTAAAAATGAATATATTGCTAGTTTTGCTCATGTGTACAGAAATCCAAAGTGAAGAGAAAGATTATCTTGGAAAGGCAACTGTCACTGAAAGCGTGTGGTGTTTGATTTAAAAAAAACAAAAAAAAAAAACATTTATATGGTTATTGGACTTGTCTGTGTTTCATTAACTCTTTTCCCCCATTTGGTGACCTCCCCTGAGTTTTGACACCACAGTACATATCTGTGAAGATGTGGTTTGTTGGCTATTTGAATAGCTTCCAGGCAAAGACCACCCTCACAAACTTCTGATGCAAACCCATTTTGTTCTATAAGCAGGCCTGAAATATGGCAGAAATGAAAAGGGCTTCTAGGCCAACTTCTAGTAGGTTTTCAGTTGGTAAAGACTTAAACAAGTAGTGTGCCTCCTTCGGTTTTTGACAAATAAGATGATTATCCTAAATCCTGTACTTAATGTTATAGCACATCAAAAGCAGTTGTGGTAATCATTCTTTATAAACTTAAAAGCAAGCAGCATTATTAGCAGAGACCCTGTGACGCTGTCTTTTGATCCATCCATCCATCTGCTCAAAACTGCTCAGCTGGAAGCTCATGCTCACAGTCTGTCGGGAAAAATACACCCTCTACACCCGCTGCTTACCTTTTAGTCCCATATTTGAAAAGGTTTGGTACCGATGCTCTATAAGAGACAAAACGCGCACTGTGAGGTGTTTTTAAACATCCTTGAGCTCACTCCATAGACATTACGCACTTTGAGACCCTTCAAGCAGTTGCTACGCATATCGCTGGTTGCTATTGCACTTGGTTCGTTTGTTTACGGGTTTTCGTTTCCCTTATACTAGTTCCGGGCGAACCCCTCCCCGCTTAATTTGAGGAAATAATTATTGTATGAATCTTTATAAAAAGTGTGTGTGTGTGTGTGTGTGTGTGTGTGTGTGTGTGTGTGTGTGTGTGTGTACACATACACATATATTCATTGTATTTTGTGTAGCCAGGGAACCGATCCATAAACAACTCGGTTGAGGTGGTAACAGAAAACCTGAAGATATTTTTTTTCCCAAAACACTTTATTACAACCTGGTAATAAACAGCATAGGTAATAAATACACCTGAATAAAACACAGAAGAAGCAAAATGAAGCAGATCAAGCAGAAAAAGCCTGCCTAAAACAAACAGACTAGCGCTTGATAATGTTCACATAAAGGCTTTTATCTAAGCACACATTCTGTTTTTATAGATATTTATTTTGTGAAGAAACCACCGGTAGGCATTTAATACAAAATCTAATATTGTAATTATTAATATTGTAAATGAACAGGTGTGGTTATGGAATTGGGCTAGAAGTAGTTAGCCTAATCAAAATAAATGTCACAATCATCACAGCATCTAAACATTTCTATAATAGAGAGCCAAATCTGAGAAACCTTTTAGCAAATATAAAACTACTGCCATGTAAAATAACAGAATTAAAATCAGATACAAGCAAGTGTCAGGATCTTATTTGTTTAAAGGACCAGAGGTAAAGATCATATTTTGTTCTTGTCAAGTGTTATAGCTTTAATAGCAACAACGATTCATTGAAACTAAGTCTTTCTGCTGATATTCATACCTCTAGTACAAGAAAGAAAAAATAAAGGGATTCTGCATTGTGTCAGAAGGAAATATAGATGAGGGCATAAGGTGGTCAACATTCATAAATATTGTTTAGAATGCACAGGATGGTGGCAAACTGGAAAAACCCCAGAATAATGGACATGGTGGACTTTTATTATTTATTCAATTATCTTTTTACAGCAGTGCAAGGAAACATCAGACCAGACTTGAATGTGCAGAGACTCACGAAAAAGTCAAAACTAAATGTCTCACTGAATCTGCATAATGTTGTCACAACTAAAACTCCAAGTCACATCGGGGGGGCTGCACACCGCAAGAAGCTCTACTGCTGCAAGACACAGACAGACAAGTGTTGAACTTCTACACAACATTTTTACAGACTGAGAGCTGAAATGGTAACTTTTTAAATGTAACACTGTATTAGCGTTCACGTATATGGAGAGATGTACTAACCTTGGCCTTCTGATTCTGGACAGGCAGGTAGAGTTTAAACTCAGCTGGAAGCTCATCCTCAGAGTACAGTCTGTCGGAGAAATACACCCTCCTTATCCGACAGTTAGCATGAATCTGAGGGGGGAAACAGAGCAGATGTTAAAAAGAGAAAAAGGAATATTGTGCCAAATTCTTACTATAGAGAAACAGGAAAGACTCAGAGGTTCCTCATGTGTGCACTAACCTGTACACGTAGCGTCTCTGTGTAATTGGTTCCATAAGCCCTCCTGGTGAAGTCGGACAGGTTGAACTGAATCTGGTTCCAGCCGTCATCGAGCCTCATGGGCATGGTGCAGATGAAGGGCTTCACCCTCGTCGTGCTCTGATAGTTACTCGCTCGAAACCGCCGGCGAACGTTTTTATCGTCCAGAACCTGAGAGGGAGATTTGAGACACACGTAGCACCAGGTCTATGGTAGATTCCCAGACTGTATGTTAGCCAATCACAAAGCATTTAAATGTCTCTACCTGGACCTCAAAGGTGAAATACTTCTTGAGGTTCTTAATGATCATGACCAAAAAGGGAAGTTTGATCCCCAGGGTCTTCTTGGGGTCTGCAGGGCATGTTATGTAGGTGGTGCTGTAGGGAGGACAGAGTTGATGAAGCTAGGATGGGCGAGACTTAAATAACAGATTTATTTCAGTTATTTAACACGACAAAAATATTAAAGAAAGTAAATCTAATTACTATGCCTAGCATCTACATGATACATTAATGTACACATACTTCAAACAGAACACAAAGACATATTATGAAAAAAGAATATCATGTTAAATATGCCAGGACTGCAATAGTGTATATAATTATATAATTGTGTATATTATTATAATTTTCAGTTTACATATCCTGTACATATCGTAGAACTGAAAGTAAAGTTGACCTTTGATTAATAAATAAACAGACAAACTCACCTGACATTTGTTCCCTCAATCTCCAGCACATTCGAATGTATGTCATTGTCCGTGACTCTCTTTATGTGACCGTTCCTCACCTGTGAAAACCCAGAAATAGATTTGTTCCCTTATTTTCAATGGAGAAATTAGAATGTTTCCCAGAGCGTTTAGAGTGCTGTATGGCGTACCAACTGTAAACCCCCCTGAATCAGATGTGGGATATCGAAGCAAAACTAATGAATGAAGAAGGCATGTCTCATATCTAAAGTCAGATTCATCAACCAGGGATTGGGACTGCCAGGACCCCCACCCCTGATCGCTGCCCAATCCACAAAGCACTGAACCTAATACTTGCTTTTCAAGCTTTGAGTTTTTCTATCCAACTATCGCTAAATCCTTGCAGATAGGGGGTCATCTCACTGTTGGGGTTTTCTCTGCATTACTGTAGGTACCTTACATTATAATTCGAGGCACCTCAAGTCAACTGTTGTTGTTATTTGGTGCTATATAAAATTGAATTGAAATGAATTACAGACGTTTGGAGACACCACTGGGTGGTGCCGCCCGACCTCCGGGTTAGAGATCAGTTGTTGCTTCAGAGGAGTTCAAATATCTCTGGATCTTGCTTATGGGAAAGGAGAGACAGGAGACTGACAGATGGAGTGGTGTGGCGTGTGCAATGATGCAGACCGTGAAGAGAGAGCTTAGCATTAAGGGAAACTGTCAATTTACCAGTCGCTCAAGAGAATAGAATCGCGGATACAAGCAGCAGAAATATTCCCTCAGAGCTAGGGTGAGGAGCTCAGACACGCTGGAGAGATTATGTCTCTTGGGTGAGTTTGGGAACGCCTCCGTGTACGCCCGGACAAGGTGATGGGGAATGCAAAGTCTGAGTCTATCTACTTAGAGTGCCTTCTTGCAACCTGGACTTGGATACGCGGCAGAAAATGAATGGATGGATGGATGGATGGATATCTCATGTCTCAGATCATTTGTCACCACTGCATAGATGGCCATGCAGAGAGGACTGCAAAGCTCATACTTGAATATCTGACCAGTAACAACTCCTGTTTAGCACATTAGCCCGTAAAACCGTGTGAATGGTACCAATGACTCAATCAAGCGAATGTAACTTCAATTACTGATGTGTGACTCAGGTTAGCAACTTAGCAGCACTGCCTCCATGGCTACCCTGTATCATGTTGCTTCTACAAGTAATCAACAAGAACTGCGCGTCGTGAATTTAAAGTGCATCTAGAAAACGTCCACAGCTATAAAACAGTGCGAAGTTTAAAAGCGACGTGAGTGCACATGATGCTAGCACGTTTTAGCCCCGCTCGCTAAGCCAACATACAGCTCCCTGCTTCCGTTCTGAGCGGCTGCTTACCTTTTTGTCCCATATCTGAAGAGGTTTGCTGCCGATACTATATAAAATAGACAAAAAACCGCTCTGGAATGTGTTTTTAAACATCTTCTTTGGGCTCAGCAGACAATCAATGTGCACATACTGTAACCGCTTCTAACTAAAGCTATACGTTTGTTTACAGGTTTAATTTCCGCCTCCAACTTTTCTGGTTCCGTGTGCTAGAATATAAACCGTTCCGCCAACAGAAACTACCACGTTGTCACTCAGAAGAAAAATGAGAAATCCGTTTCACTGAGTGGTCGAATATTCCCACACGGTGTGAAAACAGAAAGAAGGCAGCGGATGTCTCGTTTTTATTTTGGTGTTGCTGGGGAACGAAAATCATCTGACGTTGTTCATGCCGGTTAATAAATGCTGACGCTTCTCGGTCGCCGTGGTAACAGTGTAAGCTTAAAGCACAAGTGTTTAACATAATGTCGTCTAGAAGTCGCCGAAATAACCAAAACAGCTTTCACGCTTGATGATTTTTATTTCAGTTACTGAATGCATGATATAATAAAAACTCCCTAATCATAAACTAATTCAAAATATCTTGAGCTGCCCGATTCTCACCGCCTGCAGCCAGATCCATATGCGCGTCTCCAAAGAATTTTAAGACTTCTCTTTAGTTTAGAGAGATGAGCTTTCACACATAGCTTCCGTAACCAAGTAGGGCCGCACAGCTCTGATCCTCCATTACAGCTGTCAGGATATTACCTGTACAGTTCCTGTAGAGGGATGATGCAGCATTAAACAAGGCACCCTTGATCTACTGGAGTTTCCTATGGTCTGTAGAGGTGGGAGGATCCATCCAAATATTAATAGTTTCAATACCAACTAAATATTGGCATCAGAATGACACTAGCACAATGGGACTGATACTTTGCTTTAATCATCTTAAGCTCAGTATGTAGCCCACCTAATTATAAAAGTATACCTCTATGCACTATGAAAAAATGTATGAACCTTTTTGTCATGTCTTTGTCTTAAATCTGTTTTATTTATAGCCTGTAGCACATTGAAACAACAGAAGTTGACCCAAAGTGCTTTAAAGACAAGTCTAAGACCCCCCAAAACCCCTGTTTCAAAATACACGAAAAGCTGAAAGGTGTGTTTAGCTGTGTTAACTCATCACTCATCACATCATTAAAATGTGTTCAGGAATTGCAAGTTCAAATTGATTTATCTCATAAACGCTCTCCCCTAAATAAACTGGCTTTATGGGTTGAAAGTATTGGTATCAGCAATACTAACCTTGTATTTACTTGGTATCGGATTTATTCCTAAACTTGCTGTGTCACACAGCAATAATGGTCTTTCTTTCACTTTCTTTTCTTTTCTTTCTGAATGTTTTTTTGTTTTGTTTTGTTTTTGGTGCATCAGAATTTACTCAGGTACAGTACCAGTCACAGCGACCCAGATGCTTAATAATATTATCTGACATCTTACCTGTCCATAGAGACCAAGATTATTCATGTTGATCTGATAATAGTGTAGCTACTCTTTATTTATTTCGGCTATTTCCTTACACTGACAGAAAAGTGGGTTGACATTGATGTTGACATCCCTGTTTTAGGCAAACATCATGTTTTAGGATTTAATGAGTTTCTAAACTTAATACTGAAGTAATGATTCTGAATGTAAAATTATAATCTGTTGTTGTTGACTGAAATAAAAATTTCAATTCAAAAATTCAATTCAATTCAAATGATGTTTTAATTATCATTGGGTCCTGCAGTAGATATCAGGACATTATCAGTCCATAATGTAACATATCATTGAACCATGAGACTGCCTTTGAATCCTACCTTAAAGAGCATTCATCTGACGGCCATATCCTCTGCTTTTTCTGACTAATACATTAGCCCCACAGACCTAAAAAGGCAGATAGAGTCTAGTCCAGCCACCATCCTATCTTATTTAACTCCAGTTCTAGAAAATGAAATCATCTTTTTGAAGACAGCTCCATCTTTATCTAACCTCAGCTGTTCACCTCAATCTTGCATCCTGGTCACCCCCCATTTAAATCTTAACATCTTCAACTCCACCACCTCCACAGTTACAAATCACCCCTGAATCTTATTTTCAGCCTGCCTGCACGCTCGCGTTCAACTCTCTCATGCAGTGTCTTTTTCTTTGGATAGCTGACTCCGACTATTTAAACTCATACATCTTCACTACCTCTACTCCTTTCACCTTCAGTGTTCCCCCGTCTCCCTCTCGTTCATGCACATGTATTTAGTCTTACATTTACAATGACTATTCTATTCTATTCTATTCTATTCTATTTTTGCTTTTACTGTCTTTCATTCATTTTCTCTCCAGTGCATATGCCCACCTCTCCAAGCTCTCTGCCACCTGCTAAAATCTGTAACAGGGCTATTTCAGTACTTCTGAACAGAAGACCTACTGAAAGCTAAAATAAATCCCTCTCAGCCTAACAAAATATGTTTGTTTTTCCCATGAGGTTTTAGCTCCTCTCTGCTTGCTAAATGCCTGCAGACTTACCCTTGTCTGCAAGCCCAGATAATTCCTCTGACATTTCCAATTTTGTCAGAGTTTAAGTTTAAGTGCTGGAGTGCCCCTTAATTCCCTAATACATCTACCCCAAAGGTTTCTAGAAATAGATTTCCTATGCACAACTTAAATTAAGCACTCTTTCCACCCTCTAAATTCCGCCAAAGTGTCAAGCGCGACATCCTTCCTCCGTCTCCAACAGTTTAAACATTTGGCAAAGATTTCAAATATTTAAACAAGCCAAGAAACATTCAATCAAACATTAACCAGGCACTTTGTATAATGACATCACCAACAGCGAAGTCTCCTTTTAGCTTCATAAGAACTGACGCCTATGGTTTTTTTCACCGGTATTACTGCCACAGGACTTTATTTGACGTTTTGATGTTAGCCACACAACCGCAAACATATTCAATGGGACAGATGTTACAGCTGTTTATCCTCCTGTGTGTTTAGGTGATGCTTCTTTGTGGTGAAACAAATGTAAAGTGATCCCTTCTCTACTTTTTATCTATCTTTCACTATGAAGGTGTCCTCTCCCATTTTTATAAGTGTGTGTTGGTTCACGGGTTCACAGGCTGGCAGCTTCATAAAAACATCTACAGAAACAGTTTATGCTGTTGTATGCTTTACGCTTTTATTTTGCTCTTTACTTCTCTAATTGAATCATGTATTTACACAGAGACAAACGTATATTTTTTCTCTCTAACGCTGTCCAAGTGGGACCACCCTGGAGACAGCTTTAAATAAACGATTTTGAAACTGCCTTTTGTTTTTGTCCCACAGAGACAGAGCAGTCTTCCGGCCAGCTCTTTCTAATTTTTCCTCTTCCTTTTAGCCTGCCAGCCACTTACTCTTTTCTTGTTATTCCCAATCCAACTGTTATCCATCCAAGTATGTGTTCCTCTTCTGCTTTTCGACACCTCGGACGCTCAAGCCTTGTCTTTGCATTGCCTTTCCAAATCCCTGTTTCAGATGAAATATATTAGAAGATGTCCTATTTGACGAGAGCTCAAACTAAAGAGGTGGAAAATGGGAGATATTATGAGACAAAACAGAAAGGTGGAGGAAGATGGGGAATGACAAGAAAGAAAATGAAAGAAGTTAACATTTTTGACACATCTTCATTACATTTTCTGTAATACGTGATATGAAAGAGATGATGGAAAGAGGAGGTCCGCCTGTTGAACTTTACTTTCCATTGGAGGACGCTCTCCGCCCCAGAGCTCCACATCTGACTCTCTGGGCCTATTCTTTCCTTACCTTTTTAGCAAATTACTGAAAGAACAAAGGATGGACGAAATGAAGAGAAGATAAAAGTATGAAATGAAAAGCAACTGAGGAGCTCTTAATTTATATAATCGGACAACAAGGACTTTTGCACAAGCCTACTGCATGAGGATTTGTTTTCACCACTTTTTCTCTTCTTCAGGTACGTTTAATCCATTCAGTCATCATTATTTGACCTTATTTGTTTTTTTCTGGTTATGGTTTTTGTACCTAACGATCAGAAGGACAATAGTCTGCATTACTTTGCCTCATTTTCTGAGCAGCAGTTTTAAGGTTCCTTGTGTACATTTGTCCTCCTGGAGATCACAGTACAGTACTTTCCCTCTGGTACATGCATATTACTGTTTTTTTTTCCATTGGAAATTGTACACAAAAAGGAGCTTTCATTCTTTTAAGAGTGCATAATGTAAAGTTTAAAATGCCTGAATTTAACTTGTGAGGGTTTAGCTCAAAGGCAGCCCCTATAGATTTAGATATGATTAGTATGTTCTAATCATTTCATTTAAAAGTGAATCTAAGAAGCAAATGCACATCTGCATCTGTAAAGTCTGCAGGTGCTGGGCAGCAATGATTAACACAATGTTAAAAAACATTTGCAGGCTTCAGAGTCATTCACTGGTTTATCTTTTATATAATAATTTTGTCACATATTTTACCATAACTATGAAGTTTCAAAGAAGATAGCTGTTTGGAGAGGTTTTTTTTCTTTTTTAAAATCCAGGCTGACAGTCATGTTTTATCTAACTGTCTTATGATGATGAAGAGTGGAAAGACCTCTCTCAGCGGCACATGTTATCCAGTGGGAGCTCATCCGTCTCTGGTTTTTATAAGGAAAGACACTTTTGGCCAAAATGAGAGGATCTGCTGAGTAAAATATGACATTATTTAAGACTTTTATAAAATTACTTTCATTAAAGTAAAGGATGATATTTTTAATGTATGTTTTTTCTGATGTTGAACAGTCAAGACTAAATAAACACTTTTTGTGAGATTTAATTTGGGGCTTTTAGAAACGCATTAACAGGAACAGTTCAGAGTAGAAAAGAAAGTGTGATGGAGAAGATGAATGATGGGCAGACTCAAATCCAGGCTGCTTCTTAAAGGACTTGAGTTGCTTGTATGTGATGTGCAAGCTCTGCCAGGGGAGCTCCACAGATTTGCTGAGCAAAAAATAAATCATTTTATCCCCCGTGATTCATCAGATGAAACAAGCTGAAACTAACTTTTGAGCCAACTTGGCTAAAGGTCCTGTAAGGGCTCTGGATGAACTCAGAACAACTACAGAGATTGTACGACAACAAGTTTATTTCCATAGAAAATGAGTGTGATAAGTTTCAAAGCTCTGGGAAAAGTTAGTACATTCAAGTTAAGGGTGAAACAGTTTTGGCCAACTAATGAATAGCTTGTTTGGCCAGTTGTTCTTAAGCAGAACATAACAAATTCACTAATGTCGTAACGCCTTATTTATCACACTGTTTTATCTGTTCCCGTCTGGCTTTGAAATATCAACACTATTTTTGGCCAGTCTTTTTACTTCTTTAAGCCCCTTGAAAGTGAACACAGTCCAGCCGTTTTTTTAAACAGGACGTGTCGCACTGATCACGTTTATTGTGTTAAGACAACAGTCTACATCATGTTCAACACAACACATGTCAGTGGTGTGTTAAATAGCCGCGTGCGCTGGCAGGGTTCATCTTAATGCTGTGCTCCATCTTTGAAGTAACACACACGGTCGTGTACTTAACTTTGTTGAGAGTGTCACATCCTTTTAGGGAGGAGATGAAGATGGATGCAGTTGCCTCTACGATACAAGAGCACATTGTTTATAGGATCGGGATTTCCAAAGTCTCTCTGCCTGGATTCAGTTCTGCAGATGTTGGCCATGTTTTCATCCCTAGAAGTCACAGCTATCTCCTTTAGTTTTTAGTGTGCGTATGTGGGTGTCTTTGTGTGTGTGTGTGTGAGTTTGGAGAACAAAGCTGTTTGGAACTATTTACAATACAGTATCCAAGGCTGAGTCCAAGATAAAAGGTTAAGGCATCCGTCTTTAAATTACTGCTGGGAGGCTGTAATGAAGAAGTCCTGATATTACTGAACAATCTGAGGGGGGGGGGAGGTTAAAAAAAAGTAGATAGAATGAGTCTGGACATAATCCTAAAAAGCTTTTACCATTTAGAAAAGACAAGAATCTGAAAGATTTATTTTCCTCACTACGTTAACAAAGTAATAAATTTAAAATGCCTTGAGTGCTACAGTATTTTTTGAGGTGCGCATCAAGAAATAGTAACTGTTTTAATTCTTTGTGGCATGGATTTAGCAAAGTACTAAAAACATTATTCGCAGATTTTGGTCCACATTGACATGATAGCATCACACGGTTGCTGCAGATTTGTCAGCTGCACATCATTGTGAACATCCTGTTCCACCACATCTCAAAGGCGCTCTATTGGATTGAGATCCGGTGATAGTGGAAGACACCTGAGTACAGTGAACTCACTGTCATGTTCAAGAAACCAGTTTGAAATGTTTTGACCTTTGTTGCCTGGTTTGTTATCCTGCTAGAAGTAGCCATCAGACAATGTGTACTCTGTGGTCATAAATGGACATGGTCAGAAACAATAAACTATCATCTTTCAGTACTAAGGGGCCAAAAGTGTGCCAGGAAAATTCGTTCCACGCCATTACATCATCACCACTACCACCTTTGGTACAAGGCAGAAAGGATGGATCCATGCTTTCATGTTGTTTACACCAAACCTGACCTTACCAGCAGAAACTGAGACTAATCAGACCAGACAGCATTGTACAATTTTGGTGACAGGAGTAGCAATCAGTATGGACTTCTGTTGCTGTAGTCAATCTGTTTCAAGCTTCAGCATGTTATGCATCCAAAAAAAGCTCTTGACTTGTTCTTTTTGAGTATTTTTGAGATACTGTCTTCCTATCAGCCCAAAGTAGTCTGGTCAGTTTCCCCTGGCCTCTGACATCAGCAAGACATTTTCTTATTTAGAACTGCCACTCACTGGATATTTTCTCGTCTTTTGGATCATTCTGAAATGGTTGCATGGGAAAATCCCAGTAGATCAGCAGTTTCTGGAATACTCAGACTACTTCATCTGGCACCAACAGTCATACCACGTCCAGTCACTCAAATCACTTTTCTTCCCTATTCTGATGCTCAGCTTGACCTGAACAGGCTGTTCAAATGCAGAGAGTTGCTGCCACATGATTAGCTGATTAGATATATTAATGTTAATGAGCGGCTGAACAGGTGTGCCTAATGAAATGTCCAGGTGACTGTATTTCTCTTTATTTAGTCCACTTGCTTCATTATTATTGTGGGGTTTTAACCTGAAAATAACAACAAGCAGTTGTTTTATTCATACATGAACAGTGTGGTAACACAATCCCAGTTCCAATAACTAGCTTTCTATTGTTGTCATGGAATAATACCTTGAAAGTGTGAAAGCAGATGTTAGACTGGACTTCCAGTTGAGATTACTACTATAGTAAAGGAATTATTCCCCTAAAGTTGACATAACATAATATAGACATTGTAATTTGCTTTTATTTGTATTTATTGATTTAAGTAAAACATTGTAAATCTTTTTTTCCTTTTTTTTTTACATCTTCACTTCCTGATTCTCACCAGCCTACCTGTCATTCATTTTTTCCAACCAATGGAGAGCCTTCTCGCCAACATCAGCTCCAGCTCCACTGCTGAGCCTCTCCTGTCACTTTTCAACTCACACCAAACTAACTGCAACACCTGGGACCAGGAATGGGGGACCACAAACCTGCACAGGTTAGCCCACCTGGACATGCAGCTGTATCAAGATTTCTACACCGTCTGGGTTTTTCTGATGGTAAGATCAAATGCTGAATAAATCTTATGTTACACTCCAGCATTTGCTATTTCTGTGCAGTTCCTTAAGTTGTTTTTACACTTGTTTAGGGTAAGCAGATAAAAGCAAGGACCCCGCCTAAATAAATTGAATAGATTAAATTTACCAAGAAATTTAATCTATTTAATCTGCATGACCAATAAACTAAGGATCCATCCCTCCCTGCTGCAGGTGTTTAACTGTCTGATGCTGGTGGTTGGGGTGGTCCTCAACAGCCTGGCTCTCTACGTTTTCTGCGGTGCCTCTGCACACTCTTCAGCCTCCGTGGTTTACACCATAAACCTGGCGGTGGCTGACCTGCTGGTGGCTCTGTCGCTGCCAGCTCGCATCGCTCTGTACCACAGTGGAGGGAGCTGTGTGGCCTGCTCATACGTCCACACCTTCAGCTACTTTGTCAATATGTACTGTAGTATCCTGTTTCTGACCAGGTGGGTGAGTCATAACCTCATTTGTCACATAACGAGGAGCTGTTGTGCTTTTCATTATTTTTAGTTATGTGCATTCTTTTAGTTGGATGCTCATATTCAATGTGGTAACACACACAGATAACCCTGTGGACCAAGAGTTTGGCTTCTGGCTGGTCTAATTTCTTGATTTCCAGAAGTTCTTGTGTCAAGGTGATATCATTTTGGCATGGATTTCCTTATACCGTCCTCTCAGGCTTGGACTGAGATGAAAGAAGCTTTGGTTTGTGGAAGCCAGGCAAGGGGCAGCCAATCAGAAGAAAGTCAGGGTTTTAAGGAGTGAAGCCTTAAAGAAGCCTAGTATTCAAATTTATCAAAAAATAAATTGGAATAATATGTCCCCTCTATCAATATTCACTGATGGCTTTCTATTCAGCATCTGTATCGATCGGTACCTCGCTGTCGTCCACGCATCCAGTACCCTTCATCGATGGAGGACCATAGGAGCGGCAAGGTGTGTCAGTGCCACCGTGTGGTTCATTGCAGTTGTGGTCACCTACTCTTTTCAGGTGAAGAGACACACTAAAAACACAGCGCACACAAGATGAGCTCTCAGTGTATAAATCCACAAAATAAACCTAAAAAGAGAAATAAATTAATTGCAATAATTGAGTTCATAATGTAGTCTATGAATTGGTTAATGACACAGATTTAGTTTGGGGGGGGGGGCAATTTTAAATTATCCTGAGTATTAAAACTTATCAGTGATGACCGTCAATTAATCCAATAATGATTTTCATGAGGTTGCAAGAAAAGTAGGAGGAGTCTTGGTTTACAGAACAGTCAGGATCTAAAGAAGAGCTGACAAGGCTGTCAAGCTGAGACAAGCTAAAAATGCTAAAAGGCTAAATCATGATAGAATTCTTTCTCCTTCTCTCTCTAGACCACAGCTTTGGAGTTCAGTTCCTCCTGCATGGTCCTCCCTGCCCTTTTCTATCTCACCATCCTGGAGTTTCTCCTCCCCCTGCTCGCTGTGGTGGTCTTCACTCTACGCGTCACCTGTTTTCTCTCCTCCAGCCACAGCGGGATGCCCCACCAGAGCAGGGTGAGGAGGACTCGTGCCATCAGGCTTTTGGCCACCGTCCTGGTGGTCTTCACTGTGTGTTTCACACCCTTCCACGTCCGCCAGGTGCTGGTTTACTTCCAGTTCAGAGTGACGGGGGAGGCTCCCGGGCAAGGGGCGAGGGATGTGCTTGCCTATCACATCACCGTGACCTTGAGCAGCCTGAACAGCTGCCTGGATCCAGTGGTTTACTGCTTTGTGACGGACAGCTTCAAGAGAATGTGGAGGACCAGGAGAAGGGGAGGCAGAGAGGAGGACGGGGAGGTGGGGTTTACAAGTGGCATCGAAGGGGAGAGGAATTCGCTGAATAAATGCTCGGGTACGGCACTGGCGATAGCTCAGAGCATAGCCACACTAACGCTCACAAGTGCACCCCTCTCTACAACCAGCGCACACCACTCTGATTGGACAGGCGGCCATGTTTCGGAAACCAGTGATGGCACAGTTCAGAGAGACAGCTGGAGACAGTGACACATGTCGACTTTGTTTTGCTGTGAAACCAATGAACTTACACTGCTTCAAGTTTCAAAAGCTGCTGGATTACACACAGAAAAAAAAACTATGTATGTGGGGAGTTGATGTTTGGCTTGTGTTCCAGAGGCACCTCATCAAAGTTTGTGATGTAAAAATTCAGATTGACTAGGGAGGAAAAAAAACCCATTTTATTCACAAACAAGCTTTTTATTTAGTCATCGTTCTGTCTGGATACTTCTTTAACACTCTTTGTAAATTCCTGCACATGTGAGTTAAACAAGGCTTTACCTGTCCCTTTATTCCCTTTCTCGCTCTTTTTTTAAACTAAAAATTTTCCATTAGAAATAAAAACAAAAAGTTGTATAGTAACAGTTGTATAGTAGGTAAACTACCGTGACTAAGTCATATGCTTTAGAATGGAAATACTCCTTTTGTGTACTTTTGTAGACCATTTATTTGACTGCTTTGATTTTTTAGGATGCATTTGACTCTGATTCATCAAGATGTCTGTATTGAGTCACACTGAATGTTGAAAGCCTTCAAAAATGACATTTGCAACATTAAAATGAAGAATAACAGAAAGAGTTATGAGCAAAGAAAAGAGACTTTCAGAGGGTTGAAGTCTCGAGACACATAAATAGGATAAATGTGTGTGTATAAACATTTAGGGGTACACAGTGTGATGTTCTTTTAATGACTTGTTAATAATTTAAAAATGATTAAATGGACTTATGTCAGCATCACAATGACAGGAAATGATGAAAAACAAAAGCACTGCTTTGTTTCTAGTACATCAGGTTATTTGCTGGATTTAAATTTAGGCTACACTTTAGAGGCTGTGATCACACATCTTCCTCATAATTCAGGACTTGGTAGATGCATCAATCAAACTATGTACTAACATAAAGTCACTTTATCATAAATTCATTTTCTTCTTCTTCTCCTTGTTTGTTTGTCTCAGCATTGCTTGTTTTTGAGTCAGTGTGTGCTATTTTTACTGACTTGTTTATCTTGTTTAGTATAATAAATGATTTATATAAAGAAAATGCAGAGATGGTGGTGCTTTTTGCAATTAAAGTGCTGTTTCTTTGGCTGTAGCTGTTGTTAACAAAAGAAATAGTCACCTGCAACTTTATTAGGTACATTCTTTTAACTCCTGGTTAAACACTTGAGCCTACCTGAGTATTGTTGATGATCATCTCTATTGCTTTATGACCACAGTGTCTCCATCACCTGATTGCTGTGCTCAGATGGCCTCCACATTCATCAGGTCTCAATCAGGTAAAGCACTGGTAAAGGGATGCGGTGGAACAGGAGATTCACATCATGGATTGCAGCCAAACAAATCTGCAGTAACTTTGATGCTGTCGTGTCAATATGCACCAAAATCTCTGGAATGTTTGCAGCACTTGATGAATCTGTGCTACAAAGGATTAAGGCAGAAATGGGGTCCAACCTGGTACTAGGTGTACTCCACCAGAGGACAGCATCTCCCTGCGGTGGAAGAATGTCATCCAGAACAATCACACTGGCACTGATTAACAGTGGAGCTGTTCATGAAAAATAACATTACCCAATAACAGATTATGTTATTTCATAGCTGCTGCTGTTATCCACTGAAATATCTGTGTGTTCTAAAGCAGGGTGAAAAAAATTGTGAATTATGAATTTAATTTATAAATTAAAAAACGATTTATGACTACTCTCCTACACAAGATTTCAGTGGATTTGTGTATTAAGTGCATAAAACTCTTTGTTTAGTTTTCATTGACGATATTAGAGTCGAGCTATGAGGTGTCAGTCATAGCAGGAATGTGAGACATTAAATTGAGCGGCATTTCCCTCCATCATCCTTCCAGAGAAGCAGCAGGTCATCACAGTTCACGTTACGTAACTGCCATGACCTTAGCTTGCAACTTTATACCAATGCGCGCGCACACACACACACACGCACACACACACACACACACACACACACACACACACACACACACACACACATAAATACTTACCATCAGCTGGCCCTGCTGCCACATGATGAGTCTGGGTTAAACACACACACCAGTTTCAGGTTCCTTCTCTGGCTTCTCTTCATGGAAACAGCCAAAGCTTTGACCGAGTGTGTGCATGTGCATGTGCGTGTGCGTTTGTGTGCGCTAGAAATCTGATTCTGCACAACAAAATGTTTTTCCCAGTTTTCCTCTTCCTTCTCAGCGGTCTAACCGCAATGCATCATGGGAAACCAAATTAGCTGCTTTGAAGATGCTGAGTAAAGATTTTTTTTGGCACATGAAAAAATGTCTTGAAACTGCAGACCAGCAGGTTGCATCACCAACAGTCACATGCATTCCAACAAAAAACAAGCAAACAAAAACATGAGCGAGGTCACAAAGACAGAATTATTTTTATATTTGCTTCTTTGGAGTAAACCTGGTCGTTAGCTTCAATGGATCACAATTTATTTATTTTTTTAGTATAAAAACTAAATAACACTTTATATTACAGCTCACAACTAAGGGTGTAATTTCTATGTAATTAAGGGGAATTTTAACACATTCTATTTTTGAATTTTTATTTGCAACAATTAATTACTGTAATTAAATTTAAGTGGTTTCTAAGTAATCTTACACAGTGTATCAGTAATTTTGATTTGCGCCTAACTTTTAAGTAGACACAAATTATTCTGTGAGTAATTCAAGTACTTTGTGTCTCCTTTCCTGTAAAATACCCAGAATTTAGGCGAAATTCGAAATGACTTATCCACAACTCAAATTTGTATTTGTATGTAAATACAAATACATTTTTTAAAGTTGTAATTTTTAAAAATTAATTAATTAATTACATTTGATTACAGGGGAATTACACCCTTAGTTGTTGTGCAGATTTCTGTTTCTGTTGAAGTGCAATTGAGTTTTATCATTTCTTCAGATAAAAATACTCTAAATACCTCCTTTACAAAAAAAAAAGTACGATTTGGAAATGCTTGCCAAATCTTTATAATAAAGAATGAAAATTCTCTAATTAACATGTAATTAATATTTTACAGAAATCTTACTTTCCAAGGAATAAGATGCTCGTATACTTGCAAGAAAATGTGCATCAAGCCTGATAAAACCAGTCTGCTTAAAGCTTAAGACTCCCTAAAGATAATAAGTGAGGTAACAATATACAGAAGGACATTAGTGCATTTTATTAACATGTTTTTTAGACACTGTTATCCCTTAATATTTCATTATTTACATGTGTGGTAAAAAATTTTGCAATGTAATACTAATAAGAGTAAACTAACAGCTACACTCAAGATCAAGACCTTTCTGAGCATCTTTCTCAACTCATGTTAAATGCACTGCAAAGCATTTTCCTCTAAGTATTAAAAACGTTCTATTTTTAAAATGAATTTGTTTCTCTGATTATTATTGCATATAAAAACATGTATTTTGTGGGTATCACTGTATATTTATGTCTTTATGAAGTGAGACACTCCCAGTTGCAGAAATCTTTTTTGATCAAATGAACTTTTATTTTCATCCAGAGCAGATTTTTTTCTCTTTTTTTTGCCTGTATGGTGAGACCCTTCTTTATTATTGATTCTTGTCACATTTTGAATTCTGAGTGAAAATGCCAAATGATGAAAAACGTCATTGGTTGTTTGCTTCTGAACAGAGTTTAAGGTGCGTTCCATACAGTGTTCATCCAGAGTCCTACATATGAAGGCTCAAGCATATTTACATAACATAGAGATATATATACAGACTTTATATAGAAAACAACACTACTAACAAAAATAATCATCTTTTTTATAGCAGCAAAAAAGAAGAAACTAAAAGAGAAATATGTATATTTACATCTTTTTTTTCCAAATAACAAGGCATATTATATATAGTACACTGCGTATATTTACTTTCCCATTCTTTAAGTATTCATCTTGATTTAATCTCTATGAAAATCAAAGTATATAGGCATCGCTCTCCTCCGTCATTAACACACAGTTTACTAAAGGCAGAGCCACAAACACACAAACACGCATGCACAGAGGCTGGACTGACTGCATGGCCGTCACGCTGCTGCCAGGAAATATGAAACAGCATCACCGCGTCTCCACATTCATTCAGTGATGCGGACGGTGGAGAGCAAACACTGAAAATGTACAAAGGCCAAAATTTGACGTGTGTGGCTCTGCCTAGGATTCAAATAAAACACAACACACACAAAAAAAAGTTTCTAGTTGAATTAAAACAACAGAACAGAGACAAAAAAAAGACTTCAGGCATCATCACCATCGATTCCAGAGCTAAGTGTAAACCAGGTGATTGCAGAACAGAGAACCAGGACCAAAAAGTGAACACTGAGATGACAGTTTTAACACACTGCTGTCTTTTTGCTTTGCCAGCTGTGAGAGGACCTATGCTCTCTCTCTCTCACACACACACACACACTCTCTCACACACACACACACTCTCTCACACACACGCACACACACAAAGTCCAGTTCACCTGTAACAGCAAATAGAATAGCTTTAATTTACTCATTTGCAAACTAAATGTCCTTTATAGACAAGAAAGCTCAAAAAATAAATATCCACAGTTACTTGTTTTTTTTCCTCCTTTTGCAATAAAGTTCTACTTGTTTATTTATTTATTTTTTTTACTTATGTGCAAGTTCTGTGCAATGTCAGGACTCCCACCCTGGATCGTCAAACATCAAAACCAAAAACAAAACTCACATTCGTTGACTTTAAAACAAACAAACAAACAAACAAAAAAAAACATTAACATTTTAAGTCACCAGATGGAATCAGAGGTTAAGAACTCAATCTCCCAGCAGGCCAAGCGAAGCGGCTGAGCTGAACCGAGTCGCCGGAACATCCCAGAGTCTGTGATAAAAGGCTTGGGACATCATTGGAACAACAACCCCCCCACTTCCCCATAAAATCAACTACTTCCTCACTGCATTGGAACAGAAACACTCTAGTTGCACTTCAAGTATTCACGGCCAG